ATGTGTATAAGAGACAGGGGCAAAGAGGGGAAAGAAGATGAACCAACCCTTGTGGGTAAAACAAAGGCAGTTTTAATATAAGCAAAATGAAGCAAAGGTCCGTGCACAGAAGCAAAAGCAAACAGATTTATTCTCTATTTCCCATGGACAGGCGATGTTGGGCCTTCTCAGGATCAGGGCTCCAATACGCGTAGCGGTTGCCTCGGAGGACCAAGGGTGACCCCACCCTCTTCCTCCTTTCTCCCAGCTTTATACTGAGCAAACGTCATATGGTATGGAATATCCCTTTGGTCGGTTTGGGTCAGCTGTCCTGGCTGTGTCCCCTCCCAAGATCTTGCCCACCCCATCCCACTGGGGGAAATATCAGAAAGAGCCTTGGTGCTGTGTAAGCACTGCTTGGCAGTAGCCACAGCACCAGGGTGCTATCAACACCCTGCCAGCTCACAGCATAAAACACAGCACCGTGAGGGCTGCTATAGGGGAAGACCAATTCCAGTTCAGCCAGACCCAGTACACTGAGGTATTCTGAAACTTGGCTGCAGTTGGAGTTCTCTGCCTGTGGAATTCGGGCAGCCCTTTCCCGCAGCAGGGTCAGCCATTTAGTGCCTGCCACACTCTGGACGATTCAGTCTCCTCTCGGCCACCTGCCTGCTGGCTCCCCGGCATTGAGCGAGACCCACCCACGCAGCTCAGAGTGGTTTGTTACGGTATCGTGGATTTTGCTGCCTAAATCAAGGCTGTGCGGGCTGTTCTCTCCCATCCTCTGCCATGCTAGCCCATCCTCTAGCCCCTGTGCCTTGAAATGGATCCTCTTTTCTAGCTGCTGCAAACAGGTAATGGTCATAAGGCAAAAGGCCTAATTTTCCTGCCTGCTGCTGGTCCCTGACTTGGCAGCTGTTCCTGAGCATGTCTGCTCCCAGCCACTTGTGCCCGGCAGGGAGCTGCAGGCCCCTGAGCAGGGGTAGGAGAGGGAGAGGGACCCACCACCTGAGCTACGGGTGCAGCTTCCAGGGCTGCAGGTCCCGTCTCCTGTGACTTCGAAGCGGTTGCTGTGTGTCTCCGGCTGAAGAGAAGCTCCCACCCTTCCTGAGGTGGCCATGAGATCCTTGGAGGCGCTGGGACACCTGCGCTCGGTGCAGACCCTGCAGCGAGGCTGTGCCCTGCCTGCAGCAAGCAGCTTACAGGCAGCAGAAGCTGGACTGGAACCAGGCAACAGCCTTGGCAGGACATAGGATGGGACAGTCCTCCCAGGTAGGTGGAGGGACATGGACAGGGCTGGTGGGGGTCCAGGCAGGACTACCCTGGGAGTCTTGTAGTCCATAAGCAGGACTGCAGAGTGGAGAGGTGACCTAGAGCAGTACCTGGCTGCCCAAGCTGTCTGCTGGTGCCTGGAGCCCCACAGTTTACACTTGTTATGGGCATGTGACCTGGTAAAGCTCACAGGGAGCCAGAGCAAACGCAGAGCACACTGTGATGGCAGTGGGGCGAGAGGCCGGTTCCGGGGACTTGGAGAGAAAAAGGGGTAGTGTGGTGCACGTGGTGTGCTGCCCAGGACCTACCCTCGTGGGCCTTGATGTCGTCTGTCCAGAGCCACTTGTGCTCAAAGTAAGGAAGACATGGCAGGCAGCAATAGGGACACTGAAGTGCTTGTTTGGTTCAGGGAGATTGGGGCAAGGAAGTAGGTCCAGGTAAAGAAAGTGAAACTGTGCGTGAGTCACAGGGGGCAGGGGGTGCTGGAGCTGCTCACAGGGGTGCAAGGGCGTGGGGAGAGCCCATTCTCTGCAGCGCTCCCAGGCACAGGTTCATTCATGCGTTCCCTGGCTTGCGCTCATCAGTGCACACTCCGCTGCCCGCTGCGGTCCCGTGATCACTGCACGCCTGTAGCAGGATGCTCTGCTGAAACACCCCAGCGCTGTCTCCTGGGACACTCGGTTGCCCCACAAGAAAAGCAGAGCAGTGTGCGGTCATGGGGGTCTTGTGTACCCCTCTTTGGGGCTGCCTTAAGCAGAGACCAGGGCTCTCTGGGGGTTGTCTGCTCCAGCCTTGTTAGCGGAGCACAGCCTGGGGCCGGGGTCGCAGAGCATGCGTTGTGGACGGTGGTGACGTGGCCTGCCCACATGCCACATCCCCACTCTCCAGAGGAGCTGCATCGGAGCTCCCTCGGCTCAATCTCCCTTCCTGGCAGCCCGGGGAGGGCAGAGTCCATCTGCCTCATTTGGTAGCAGTGGGCCGGGGGACGAGCAGAGCTCCCCAGGGAGCCTGAAGGTCTGTCCATGGGCTGCAGCGCCCAGGGCAGCTGCGGTGGTGCGGGCACTTGGCAGGGAAGCCTGCTCTGGGCTGAGCCATGTGACAGCCATGCAAACCTCGGGGAGATGGGGAGGATTTCACTGAGTGGAAAGCCCAGCTTCCTCTGCAGTGAAGGAGAGTTCCTCTTGCTTTCTTCTTGTCACCGTTCATCAGGCTGGCTGCGGGAGCAGCGATGTCTGCCCTT